TTTGATATTTCGTACTCAATATTGCTGCTTCCAGAACCTGTAAACTGAATGTTTATATTTTTGAGAGGTAACGCGGATTTCAGGAGTTGGCGGATTTTCAGTATTTGACTGTACAGTACACTCTCGATTATACTCGGAATTGGGTGGCGCGGTCGTTGCGGATAATCCAAAAAAAGCTAAAAACGGGTATAACAAAAGAGAAAACAGTCATTCCAACTTTGAAAAATCGTTTTATGTACAATAAAACGTAAAATAAACAGCAGGAAATGTTTAACTAACGCTTAATATTTTAGTATATCACTCAAAACTAAACTAAAATGCATTTTGTTATTAAAAACGGAAAAGTGCTTTGTACTTACGAAAGGCGTCAAGGATACACAGAAAATTTAATACATATGTACTGTTTTAATACTGTAATGTATTATGTAATTACAAAAGCATAACTGTAAAACTACCGCTTTTTGAAGAAATCAGTCATTTGTGTTGGCTTCTTGCTTTGGAAGCCTTTTCTCTTGATCCGAGATTGCATTTTTCGTAGCATAAGTTTTTCGGCCAACTCCGCGTCGTCTGCGTAAAGAAATTTGTAACTACTTTTTTTAGAAAACAATATTTTAAATCTGAACTAATAGAAAATTTCAAACAAACAATTTTCTGGTTCATTTTTTGTTTTTATTGGTGTAAATAAGTAAAAAAATACTAAAATACATAAAAATGAATTTTCAAAAGTTTTTGCTTAAAATTCTAAATTGTGCTGCTTTTTTAAAATTATAGGTGAATATTATAGCATAATTTCTATAAAGGAATTTTATTTCAATTATATTTCATAATACGTAGGTTTTTTTTTTTTTTCAACCTCTGATCGCACAGTATGTTGGCCAGGTATGTGGCAGGTGGTTGGTGTGCGTAGTAGGCGACTGGCATCTCCCCCTCCACACGCTCTGTCACTGGTGTATTCAACACGGCATTTTTTGAGTTGCAGTCACGTAAACATGGCTGCCGCTATTGATTCTCCCGCCAAGTGTGAATTGCGAGCTGTTATTCGTTTCTTGTAGGCAGAAGGGAACAGTACAGCGGAAATTCATCGAAGAACGAGTCGAATGTATGGAAACACCTATTTGAGTGATGGTGTTGTTCGTGAATGGTGTCGAAAGTTTAAAGATGGCCGAAATGATGTGCATGATGAAGGGGATCAAGAACGCAAGTCTGTCGCTACAGACGACATTATTCAACGAGTTAAACAAGCGGTTAAGCAAAATCGAAGGTTCACCATAAGTGAATTATCTGTGAAATTTCCGAAAAGTTTCAAGATCTTCCCTGTACTCTTATCGTTACTGAACAGTTGCGCTACAGAAAAGTTTGCGCTCGCTGGGTCCCACAGATGTTGACTGATGACCACAAAACTCGCCGAATGGTTGCAGCGTTTGAGTTTCTTTACCCTTACAATACTGACGGAGAAGGGTTTTTGAAATCCATTGTGACAGGTGATGAGACGTGGGTTCAATATGACACGCCCAAAACGAAATGACAATCACAACCATGGATGCACACAAATTCTCCAAAGAGACTCATAAAATTCAAACAAACCTTTAACAACTGTAAGGTTATGGCAACTGTTTTTTGGGACCAAAAAGGTGTGTTGCTTCTGGAGTTTATGCAGCCTGGAACAACAATTAATGCAGATTCATATTGTGAAACTTTGCAACGCTTACAGAGAGCTATTCAAAACAAACGAAAAGGCATGCTGACTTCTGGAATTGTTCTGATCCGCGACAATGCCCGTCTTCACAGCGCTCATGTAACCCAACGGCTCCTTCGGCAGTTTCAATAGTACATTTTCGAACACACACCATATAGTCCCGACCTAGCACCAAGTGACTTTCATCTGTTACCTGAACTGAAGCAGTGGCTTGGCAGAAAGCACTTCCAAAATGATGTGGACCTGAAAGAAACCGTCACAACTCACTTCCAATCATTGGCGGGGACATTTTATGAAGAGGGTATTGCAAAGCTTGTTAAACAGATATGACAAATGCCTCAATCGTCAAGGTGATTATGTAGAGAAATAACCTGTATTGTACATTACTTTTGGTAATAAAATCTTTTTTGTATATTCACCCGTCTTTTCTTTATAGACCATCGGAGGTTGAAAAAAAAAAATAGCCCTCGTACATTATAGTGATAAACATTTTTAACACCTTAATAATTTTTATTAACATGTAATGGACGTAAATTATAGGAAATTTGTGATGCATTTCTTATCTTTTGGAGAATTTTTGGTAAAACAATGAAAACAAAACTATTTGAATTTTCTCATTTCTTTGACCCCAGAAGTCTTTCTTTTAACATCTCTTTATTTACTTATTTTTCCTCTAGATACAAACATTGAGGCAATCAAAGAAAGCAAAGAAATTGAAAACTGAAATTTATTAAAAGATGTACGTCTCAGCGCATGTCCTAAATTCTAAAAATTTTGCCATCCCTAAGTTTTGTTGCTCCATCCTTCACTAAATTCTAAAACTTCTGTCACTTTAGTTCGAGCTCTGACCTTAAATCATTTCATGTTTATTCCCAATACTCATATTATTAAAGAAATAAAATTATCGTATATTATTATAAAATATAATATCATATTATCAGTTATTGTAAAAGTCTTTTAAACATTCTAAGTACAATCAGTTCTTTAGAATTACAGAAATTGATTAAATCCAAAATTTCTAAAATGGAAAAACTTATTGAAGAAGATATTGATTTTATAAAGGGAGAGAGAAAATTATTCTTCAAAGGTACATATATAAAGGAACATTTATAAATTAGAAGATGAAGCAGAAACTAATGGGACATTGATTTGTTTATTGAAGCAAATGAACTTAGAAAAGATGCAAAAAATAAGGGAGTTGATGGAAATTAGCTGAAGTATCTGGAAAATTTTCAAATTGAAAAGATGTATAGACATTTTGTTATTGCAGTACTATAATTTCTGCAAAATATTCTTACCTATTTTCTAATGGATATGTTTTAGAAATTAAAAAAAAAAGTGATTGTAACCATGTAATCTGTTTATTAATTATGTGATTCAATTATTTGTAACTAACTGCCCACCCTTACAAATTATCTCTACATGTTAAGATGAGTTATCGCCTTCCCTTAATCGTTATTGTGGATATCCCACTTAACACGAAATTTGCATAAAATGTGGAATGAGTGAGCATGTCACAAAATGAGGAATAAAAGAAAGAATCAATATATAAAGCTAGCTATTAGTAAAATTGAAATAAAAAGCCACTAAGCTTTTATAAAATGTTTGGGACTGTTATACGTGTAAAATATAAATGTTTTAAGAAATTTTATAATGCTAATTTTACTTGGAAAAAATTCTGAACATTCTATTATTGACTTTGTTTTATAATTAAGTTAAATATAGTACAAAGTCTTTAATCCGGACCTCAAAGCTACAAACTTTCTGCACATGCATAAACTCATTAATGTGTTTACGCATGCACATATGTGTTTACGCCTGCGCGTAATACGTTTACACATGCACATTTAATGTATAACGGATGGTATAAGCTAAGCTAAAATTATGTAATTATCTATTTCAGTTAATGTTGCAGATTGCGTTGTTCCTTAATCTTCTAATTGGATCCTTCTTATTATTTTTTGCAGACTGTTAGAGCAGTTTTATAAAAGTAAGCTTGAACTTTCGATTATGTCAAATAGAAATTCCGATTCTGGAGCTGCCAAAGGATCTACAAAGCGAAAGCATGTTTCGGCAGAATGTTAGAGCAATTTTATAAAAGTAAGCTTGAACTTTTGATTATGTCAAAAAGAGTTTCCAGTTCTGGAGCTGCCAAAGGATCTTAAGCGAAAGCATGTTTCGATGTCCATCAAAACAAAAAGTGGAATATCTGTAAAAAATGGATAAAGGCATAAAGAAAGTGACAGAGAGGTTAGTGAAAACGAAAAAATTTTGATAGACTAGTTAGTCGGTATTCTCGGCACAGCAATTACAGGAATTGAACAGTGGAACTGAACAAGAAATTATGTCTGTTTATAGAATTAAAGAGAAAGTATTAGCACAAAAAATGAAGCAACTTAAACAACTTACATTGAAAGAAATGTTTAATAAAGTAAACAAATAAATATATTAAGCTTTTCTTTTTGTAAATTTTGATACCCTTCAAATCATAATTGCTCTTTATTTCATAAATTACGGCTTCATATTTTTAATTGTATAATTTCTGCATGCCATCTTACCAGATTTAAATTGATGATCTATAATCCGGAATCGCCCGGATTAAGACCCCCTAATACGAAAGTCCCGACGAGTCCAGATTAAAGACTTTGTACTGTATTAGATTATGATTAATATTAATACATCTTAGATTTTTGTTCTTACAAATTACAAAAGTGGTGTTACAAAACTGAAGTTTGAATGTAGATGATTGCTTTAGTTTATTCAGTACCTATTTGCTTGATAAGTCCGTAATATTTTTCATTGATGGTCCTTAGCAGTCCTTAAAAGTACTTAATTTCCATGTGCAGAAATATGTACGAATCCTGATAACACAGAGTGTTGAGCTTATATCATTTGGAACGGTGGCTAGCATTACAATTCTTCTCAAAAACTCAGAAGTATTGGGTTCATCTCCAATGAGCTAAATACATGAATATAATTGCATAACTAATCACAACTAATCAAGAGTGGCCTAATCATCTAATGCTTTTGTGCATCAGAAATGATTTAATCAAGCAACTTGATTTCTTAAAATATTTAAGTTGACAAAAAATTGGAAAATATATATTTTAAAATAATTTTGATATAGTTTTTGTTATGTAAATACATATCATGCTTCTTCAACAGTATGTAATTACTTTGAAGCCATCATTCAAACTGGCTTATTTTCCTCTAAATGCTGTAAACCTTTGTAGGCAAGTGACATGAAAACTTGATTCAAGATGTAAAGGTCATGTATTATAAATTGTCTTTTACGATTTTTCAGAGCAGTGATTGTAAATTTAAGAGATCAGATATAGGAGCTAACTGCACCAAGTACATCAAAATCAGACGCTCAAGTGAGAAGGACTTGCAGTCTGCTATTGCCAACATTGGACCTGTATCAGTGGCTATTGATGCTAGTAGTTATAATTTCATGTTTTACAAGTAAGATGATATTATCCAATTTTTTCAACAATTATAATTATCTGTTTATATTTAAGTTTTTTCCTTAAAAGTTTGTTTTACCGTATTTGGTAAATATTAGTAATTTATTCTGCAGTGGTTTAATTTCTTGCTTATTTAAAGTGGCTAAAGCTCTGAACATTGATTCATTCTGTTGTTGCTGAAATGAGCTTTCTGGGATGTGTAATGTAAATAAATTTCAATTGTGAATACTTTTTAAACAACTATGCTTTGTTATTTTATGAAAAATTGCCATCATTAAATTGTGGCCAGCCCAGCAAAATGCACATGACACAAAAAGTTACTGATTGTCTTTAAGAAATGCTGCTCTTGAATGCTTAATATTTCTTATAGCCTAATCTAATACTTGTTCAAAGAGAGCTTGTTTGAAATGACTTCAGCAGCAGCTGTATATTTTTTGTCTTGCAAAAAATGAATACAATTTTGTTTCCCTTAGAAAGTCTTGCACGAAGGTATCCCTTCTTACAGGCAGATATTTCTTGTATGTTTTGTCATGATCAAATAAACTAAACTAAGCCTTACTTGGAATGGAGTTAAATTAAAAATATGGTACATATGTACGTGGTTAGGACATGCGGATCAGCAACTCTTTTGCAATTTTATTGCGTGTTTCTCTGCAACTTTCATGACTCCTTTTTACAAAAAATACAACCAGAAATCTTGTAAAACTTAACTGAAAATTTTATTAGCAGAAGTGTTACCATTAGCCAGAATTTTAGACCAACATATAAAAATACTTTATCAGTTATCCTATCAATCTTCTATCTCATTGGTGAATTTTAATAAGTTAGATTTGGCTGCAATGATCTACTATGTATGTGTTCTAGCATAATTTGATCATCTGTTAAGTATTATTACAATATAAATGATGTGATATGTACATCAGTTCATATATATTATTCTGCTCATATTTCTGTTCATTGCATAAATTTTTGGCAATTACAGAAGCAGATGCAGTGATGCAGTTTTAAATATATTTAATGGATACAGTACTCTTTTAGAGCAATAATAAATTATGAAAATGTTATATTATGCAAGGGAAGTTATCTGTTTTTGTTGAAATATATTTCATAAAACTGAAATGAACGTTTCTCAAATTTTAAAGATCTATGCATATAGTTAGCTGCCTCCCTTCATTCTGTCATTTTGTGCATATTTTTCCGAATAGAAATATTAGATTCAAATACAGTCAAAAGTCTTTAATCCGGGCATCCATAATCTGGAATGATCTATAATCCGGACCTCAAAGCTACAACTTTCTTTGCATGCGCATAATAACTTTACGCACGCGCGTATGTGTTTATGCATGCGCATAATACGTTTATGCATCCGCGTTTTACGAAATAAACAGCAAATATAATCTAAAGGGTATCAAAATTTACCTTTAAAAAAAAACTTAATATTTGTTTACTTTATAAAACATATTTGTTTCAAAGCGTGCATGCGTAAAGCATACATTACACATAGTCGAAATTAGAAAATTGCAACCAGAAAACTATTTTATGTGTATTCGTGATATTTATAATGACGAAGAAATTGATTTAAATCATATCGGAGTACATCGAGATGAAACACTACATTTAGTAAGGAATTATAAGCCGAATAAAATAAAAACATCTGCCCTGAAGATGAGGATAGTGCTGACAGATCAACTTCCAGTTCATTGCACGCCAGGACGTTTCTCTCCCCTTCCCCAGAGCAGAGTGAAATTGATAAACAGATTTCGGAATGGTTAGAGAAATCACCTCTCTGCCACTTTCTTCATGCCTTTATCCATCTTTTGCAGCAATTCCACTTGTTGTTTAATGGACATTGAAACATGCTTTCGCGTTGTAGATCCTTTGGCAGCTCCAGAATTGGAAATTCTATTTGACATAATCGAAAGTTCAAGCTTACTTTTATAAAATTGCTCTAACAGTCTGCAAAAAATAATAAGCCGGATCCAATTCGAAGATTAAGGAACAACGCAATCTGCAACATTAACTGAATTAGATAATTTTAGCTCAGCTTATACCGTCCGTTGAACATTAAACGCGCATGCGTAAACATATTATGTGCATGTGTAAAGGTATGATGCATGCGCAGAAAGTTTGTAGCTTTGAGGTCCAGATTATGGATGTCTGGATTAAAGACTTTTGACTGTATAACGCAGCACTATCCTTATCTTCAGGGCAGATGTTTTTATTTTATTCAGCTTATAATTCCGTACTAAATGTAGTATTTCATCGCGATGCACTCCATCTTTGATATGATTTAATCAAATTCCTCGTGATTATAAATATCACGAATACACATCAGATAGTTTTCTGGTTGCAATTTTCTAATTTCGACTATGCGTAATGTATGCTTTACGCATGCGCGCGTTGATAGAAATGTTTAACAAAGTATATAAAACCCTTTAGATCATAATTGCTCTTTATTTCATAAATTACAGTTTCATATTTTTAATTTTATAATTTCTGCATGCCATCTTACCACATTTAAATCGATGACCTATAATCGAGAAAAACTGATAATCCGGAATCGCCGGAGTCCCGACGAGTCCGGATTAAAGATTTTGACTGTATATTATTTCAGAGAAAGTCCAATTTTGTGTAAAAATATTTATGTTGGAATAGTGCTATATATAAATCTAATATATATCCTAAGTTGTGCTTTCGAGACATGAAAAACGCAATTTGAATTTTGTCAATCAGCCCAGTAGAACGGGAGATATAGAACTGTTCGGCTAAAATATCAAGTTTTCATTTAACAGTATCACCTTGATAAAAGCAATAATAAGTTACTATATACATATTTTCCATGTCAATGCCAAATTTCACTTTAGAAACATTTTAAAAGTTGAATAGTATTAAACCAAATTGAACAAATTTTGAGTGAAACATAAAGCAATGTAATGCTAAGAGAAAGGAAAAAAAAAGATAAAATGTCTCAGAAATAGAGTTACCTGACATTTTGTGGAAGGGGACTCCTCATCCAAATAATAGCTTCTCTTCCTCATCACTTATGTTGTCCGTATTTCTTTGTATATTACCGTAAAATTTAAGTTTTCTACTATTTTATCTTTTTAATACTGTGTTTTAATTATTTCTTTATATTAAAATTAAAATTATTATTATTTATTATTTATTTTATTATTATTAAAATTTGATTGTTGTTTTAATTATTTGTTTTTTTGGTTATTTTATTGCAAATTAGATTTTAATGTTTTAGTGACACCATGTAAGAAATAAATAATAAAATAAAAGCAGACGATTGCATACTACATGCTTACCTTTTGTTAATACTAAATTCATTATGCAAACTGGTAACTGCCATTATCAATAATCTACTGTCAAAAATGATTAAAATTTTCTGATCTGTAAGTGGTTGTCTAAAGATGCATTGCAGTATTTTTTGGCGGATTATTGAATTTCAAATTTTGTTTGTCTGTTTATTCTTTTCATAAATTGAGGACATAAATGGGCAAGTATGACTTTTCATTATTATGAAGAACTGATTTAGTTTCCTCTACAAATTACATTGCTTTTTGTAATGAACATTTAATTGTTATAGGGAAGGCATTTATGTTGATCACATATGTTCTAAAGAGGATTTAAATCATGCTGTATTAGTAGTGGGATATGGTGCAGAAAATGGAACTGATTACTGGATTGTTAAAAATAGGTATTTCATTTTGATTTTTCTAAGCCTTTTTATGTACGAATGGTATTTATTTATAACTGTGGCTTAAAATTCTTCCATTTTTTACAAAAAATATAATTTGCACAAAGTAAAATTTTTTTAAAAACTTCAATTTTGCATGTATTGGTAAGAATGAAAAGAGTCTTTTTCCTTAATTTTCTGTTCTAAGATGCTATTCCGTTTTTATATAGTTGGGGCACATCCTGGGGATTGAATGGCTATATTTTAATGGCAAGGAATTCTAAAAATCAGTGTGGTATTGCATCACATGCAGTTTATCCCCTTATCTAAAAATTAGTTAAATTTCAAGAAAACACTGATTGTGAGCTCACTTTGCATAAACTTTTATTTTGTAAAACTTCAGATATAGTGAATTTTGTATGTTTTTTTCATTTAACTCCTTTGTAATGTTCATTTAACTTTTCATAGATTTTTAAGTTTGTTATGTGAATTTTTATTTGTAACTATAAACATACATAATAAAAATTTGTGTTTTGTTTCATTATGTTCTGAAAAATAAATTTGTTTTTTTTAAATGCATGGCCCTTTTTTTATCTATAATGATGAAACATCTATTGTATAAAAATATTTTCACCATAAACTATTTTTAAAAGTTAACTAATAATTATTTCTTTCTGAAATTATAAGTAACAATGCATTACCTACATTTAATTACTATATCATTAACTAGAATATAGTTGCGAAAAATATAGATAGAATAGTATTTATTAAATTCAGGAAATGTGCATTATCGAAAAATTTAAAACAATATAATTATGCTTTGGTTTGTGATCTGTTTCATGTTATTAATGTGCAATTTTAAATAGAGAACTTGTTTGAAATTTTAAAAATTTAATTGAGAAAATTATTTTAAATGGTGAATATATTCGTACATTAAAAAACTCATTAATAATATGTGTTTATAATATCTTTTGTATGTCTAAACAATTTAAGAATTTAACTGCTTGATCGAAATGAATTAATTCTGAGTGTAACAGATTAAAAATATTTTTCTTTAAAAAAAATACTTGTGAGAAAAGTACATTAAAATAGCATATTAGAGGTAAGTACTGTGCACAGTATTCATTACTTTGTTCTGTAAATACTGTTTTCTCATTTCTTAACTTCTAAAATCAATAAAATGAACGGTAATGAAATGTAATGAAGAAAAGATAGTTACTATTTTGCATAGAAATAATTTTACAAGTGGCTGTAAGTGATGCTGATTTTATGTAAGTGAAGCATTTCAATATGTTAATTTCAAATTTCTAAAATTAGACTTTTAAATAGCAATTCAAATTTCAAAACTTTGAATCACATATTTCTGTAATATGAAATTGGGGGGTGGGGGAGGGGAAAAAAACAAGTTGGTCAAAATTAACTTGATCTGTAAATTTAACTTAGCTTTGTTATTTTTCTATATTCTAAAAGTAAATCAGAAATTTTTCCAGAAAATATAATCAAAATTCAAAAATTACAATGCGACATGGATTGTTAAAGAAACTTCTGCCCTTTGTAAATATAATGTTTATGCATTTTCATTGTTGTTATATAAAAAAATAAAATTTTGAAGTTCAATAAAAATGCAGAATATTGAATTAATGCAACAAACAAGTACTGATATTTGACTAGAAATTTTTTATACTCACGACACATATTAACATTGTTTATAAATATACAAAATCTAGACACTCTTCAGCTTATGTTATCTCCTATGGAAAAAATTACCTTCATAAAAATGACTCATTTTTCTGAAGGATCAGAAGAATTGGGAACCTGTAATTAAAAATGTGTATTAACAATTATGTGTTTATAGGAGTAAAAACTAAGTTTAAGATCGTAAAAGAAATGCAAAATTATTCCATTTTGTATAATTATTTGAAATCTGAGATATTTTTATCATTTAAGATTGTAAGAACATCCTGCCCTGTAAAATAAATTGTGCTTCACTTAATTGTTTTTTTTTTTCGGGGGGGGGGGGGCTAAGTACTTTTTTTTGTAAGGCAAATTTTCAAATCATGAAATTTCTAACTTCTCTTGGAGGTTTATTAAACTTCAGAATGTGAGACATACATCAATGACATTAGACTTATATTAATGACAAGACATAGTAAAGCTTATATGGCAGAATAACACATATCTGGACAAGCAGAAATCTGTATAACTTCTTTGCTGTTCTTTTCCCGTGGTATGTATGTGTATGCATATAAAAATATGCAAATGTTAGCATTAAGTATGTTTTTTGCGCATACATGGTACCACTGATATATATATTTTGTAACTGTCTTTACACTTGTACATATCCAATAAAACTTCACTTTTCCAAACTTACATCAGATACGTTGTGTGTATTTATTCTCATGCTTGCTGAAGTAACTGATCTTTACTGTAGTGAGTTTGCATATAGGTTATGGGCCCAGGTCTAAGAAATGAAGATAAATAATCTAATGTCTAGTTAAGTTAGTTTAATTCTTAGAGTAAATTTTAGAATTAATAAAATTACTTTTACTAAAAGGCCACACGGTTATATTAGGGTTAACTGAACCGCATGATTATAAAAGCTTTACTAGTTGGACTATTGCAAATATTTTTAACTATTAATTTTATTGATAATCAGTGATGATCAAAACATCATAGATAGTAAATGGATTTTCAAAAAATTTTATTGATAATCAGTGATGATCGAAACATCATAGATAGTAAATGGATTTTCAAAACTAAATGTAATTCTGAAGGCAAGATTGAAAAGTATTAAGATTTTAGTTGCTAAGGGCTTTTCTCAGATTGATGGAATAGACTATAGTGAAACATTTGTACCAGTTGTAACATTACGTAATGTTAAGAGTTTTATTACTACATGCAGCTATATATGATTGGGAAATCGACCAGATGGGTGCTGTAATGGCTTTTGTACAGGGAACTCTTAAGTGGAAAACATTTATATGAAAGTACGAGATGGCTTTAGTGAATTTTGCAAGCAAAACTTGAAAGGTCCTAAAATTAAACAAAGCATTAGATGGTTTAACACATTTGCAGCCGATCATGCACCGAAGAGCCAACTGTGCTCTTGCGCGTGGTGTGGGGTGATGTTTCATGCGCCAGTCATGCGCTGGCCCAGGAAAAGCATCTCATTAGAATAGAAGAGAAACATGCCAATGTCACAATTAAAATTGCAATAATGACCTTGTATTTAGCTTACATATATTAAAACAATCGATTTCGAGGGCAGCTAAAGGTCCCTTCTCATCAGAAAAATGAAATTACTAGAAAAGAGAAAAAGAAAAAAAGCATTGGCAAAGGAGTCTCAGAAACACGTGCTCGTTATCAGCAGACACGTGGTCGTAACTGGATTTTGAATCAGATTTACACTGGCCGCCTACTTTTACTGAGCCAGGCTATCTGATCAAACATATAACACATAGACTATCTGATCAAACATATAACACATAGACTATAAAGCAAACAAATCAGCGAAGTCAAAAAAATAGGGAGCGAGGGGCAACTGCACTTTCACGCACCAAGTCTGAACCTTGAATAAAGGGAAAGCAACCGCTGTGAATAAAGGGAAAGCAACCGCAGTCAAAAAACAGGGAGCGAGGGGCAACTGCATTTGACTTCGCTGATTTGTTTGCTTTTTAGTGGAAACGGGTTCTGTGGAGAGATTAATCAAGAATCACCCTGTGCCATTTAGCATCTGCCTAGATATCACCTCCTGCCAGTGCCCACAGTAAAGTTTGGCAGAGGTGGTATTATGGTCTGGGATCCTTGGTCCAAAGTCATGGCAAGTTCAATGGCGATGCCTACTGCATTATTCCAGATGACAGTATGCTTCCTGATGTTGTGGCAGTTTTATGGGTTGAACCCGTGTTACTTTTAGGACAACAATGCCAGCTATCATGTTGCAAGGTCTGTCATGGATTGGTATGGTGACAATAGGGTTTAACCAAATAGACTAGCTTGCCCAAAGCCCAGACTTAACTTTGTCGAGAATCTCTAGGATGAGCTTGGATCGCTGAATTAAGGAGTACAGCAACTGTTCAACATTGGACTGCAAGCTGACTGGAATAAAACACCAAGAAAGAAATTGGTATTGGAAGAAAATACCAATAGCCGTTATACAAAGACTTGTGAAAAGCATGCCCCGGTGGGTTGAGGCTGTATTGCTGCTTGTGGAGGCTCTCCCAAAAATTTTGTTTTACTTTGTTGTCACAGGTGTCCAAATATGTATTGGTAGATAGTATATGAAAGCCACCAATAATGTTAAATGGGGGAACACTCAAATGATTACATCCCAGGTGGCATACGCAAAAGAATTCATCATAATAGTAAAGAAATATTTTGCAAAAGCATCCCCAAAACATAAGCAACAAGAAGAATTTTGTGTTTTCCATTGCTTGATTTTGTGCAACAAAAATTTTAGAATTTAGAAGAAAAACTGCATTTACGGCACACCTGCTTCCTTAAGTTGAGAATTATATTCTCCATTCCTAGACTTTGTAAGGTCAAGATTCTTAATAATTTTATTTTATTTTGATGTGATCTCATTGCAATTTATTCATAAGTAATAGAATGACCACAGTATGTTTTTACCGGTCGAAAATATAGTCAATATACAAAAATTCTGTAAAATGATATCCTTCCCAATCAATATTTAATCATATAAATCAAAGTTTTTCTGAGAAAGAATATGCAGTAATTTTTTTTCTTATGAATAGTGACCATCTTTTATAATGAGGCATCAGTATTTTTCATAATGTAATTAGATAATAATAATGATCATATTGTCAGAGGTTATCACTCCATAGATCATTTATAAGAACCATGGGTCAACAACTTAAATTTCACCATTGGACAAAATAAATATCAGAAGTTCAAAATACTTACTCGTAAATCACACATGCTAAATGAATATAGTCTTTTTTGGCATTTATGTCTCACTTGACCTGCAAATCGAATAGAAATATGAAATCAAACTGTTATGCTAAAAACAGTGTAGGTTGAAAATGATAGTTATAACATTTTTTAAACCAATATATGTGTGAGAAATGTAGTTATTGTGAAAGACTTAAGAACTACTAAGAACTAACATAATTTATTATATATGATAATATTGATAAAGAGCATAATGCTATCCTTATCAGTATGGTGGTTAGCAGTGCCAGCTGCCATCATCATCATTGGGACTAAGTGCGAATCTTGACGAAGGCCTAATTTACAAAAATTACTGTTTAACTTAAAGTCTCCTCAAGAGGTTAGTGGTTGAGGAAAATAATTAAAAAACACTGTAAATAATCCTCATGAAGTGCTTTGAATCTAATTTTAGGATGATTTTTGAAACTACAGGGAGAATCTGTTAGTTTGACCCTCCAGTCATGAGATTTTACAGTTTAAGACATTTTGCTTTCTTTCTTTAATAATGTCATCTTAATGAATGTACATTTATGAAAATAGATATTAAAATAAATAATTATACAAATGTAGCTAATAAATGCTGTTTAAATACAGATAACAGATCCAAAAACCCGCACTGCTCAGAGGGTTAATTTATTATGGCAAAAACTTAAGAATGCACCACAGGACTGACAGTGCATTCTTTTAAAGCACAAACACAGCAAAGAGATTATATTTTTTTATTGTTTACTTTATGTATGATGTTTTTTTATATATGATTTAAACCTCAATTTATGCACGTTATTACATCAAAAAAGAATTTTTCAGAATGGAATAATAGATAAACGAAACGTCACCAGAAACTGACTATTAAAAGTATTAACATACCTCACTATGCACAAACATGTGAATGGCTAAGATGATATGATCTTGCATAGTATGCCAGTAAATGTGTTAAAAATAAAGATTAATCTCTTTCTTTTTAAAAGTGAAAAAATTTCATTAATTTATAGATACATGCAATATATATATATATAAGGAGCATCCAGAATAAGTTAAAAGTCTTATTCTGTTGTTAATGCGTTTTGGGTCATGAAATACGGTAAAAGGATCAATCACCTCTTGAAATATAATAAACAAAGTACACACAGCAGGTATTACAGTACGAAGTCCGAAATCCGGACATCATTATCCAGAATTATCTAAAATCTGGACCTGAAAGGCACTAACATTTTTTCAATCATTTCAAAACAATCATTTAAGCATAAATTTGCGAAATTAATAATTTGGCTCCGTAACTGGGCATACATCTCAAACAGAAAAATTCACCTATTTTATATACCTGATGCCGACCTGGCGAGTCATTATTTATTATATTTTGCTTTCATCACCACGTTTATCACTACATGACAGCTTCAGTAATCGCTCATGCTGTGATGTCTAAACTTTTTTTATTAGTAATTGAATAACAAGAGTATGGCAACCTTTTATGCTAACATTACGCTTGGTAATGATTATAGATTTTGAAATGCTCAAAGAAATGTTGACAAGAAAAACTTCAACAAAAATTTCTTTTCATATGCTAAAAATAGATTTTGTTAATGAAACTCATATGCCAAAAGATTACATTTGGTTATAGTTAGTTAGATTTTAATTAAGAATAACCGATATGTTATTCACCAAAACCCCAGAAGCGGCGGCAGAATATGTTGGCACTGGACGGCAGAAGATGAAAGTTTTGGAATTTGGGGAAACACCGAGTGGCAAAATTAAAGAATGAGAAGTTTTTGTGATTTAGGGAAAGCACTAGGATCCAAAGTTTAGGCATGGTGAAAATTTAGAACTTAGGAAAGCGCTTTGTAGCAGAATTTAGGACACGTAGAGACTGCACCAGGTGTTATCGAGTGGCGGCCCTAGATAAAGCCTTAAGTATATGTGGGAGTTTATTTATTCAGGACTCTGATTAGTTTAAATTTAAAGCATGTGCAAGAAATAAATGTAGGTATAGTGAATAACTAAACTAATACAATTCAGGCTTAATTCAGTACGCAATACTAGCAAGACAAAATTTATAATTAACAATAACATAACGGACGCTATTAAGCTAGGCTAAAATTATCTTTACTGATTATAAGGCATTTCAATTAATGTAGCAGACTGCGCTGCTCCCTGATCTTCTAATTTGATCCAGCTTATTATTTTTTGCAGAATGTTATTATTACGGCAATTTTATAAAAACTAAGCTTGAACTTTCGATTCAGCCGAAAAGAGTTTCCAATTCTGGACTTGCCAAAAGATCTACAAAGCGAAACCATGTTTTGATGTCCATTAAACAAAAAGTGGAAATGCTCCAAAAAATGGCAATCTGTCTCATGTGAGAAGTATGGCATTGTAAAGTCCACTGTATATAACACAAGAAAAAAGAAAAAGGAACTTTTTTGAATTTTTTGTGGAAACACCTTAAACAACTTACATTGAAAGAAATATTAAGCTTTTTTTTTGGGGGGGGGGCAAATTTTGATACCCTTTAGATCATAATTGTTCTTTATTTCCTAAATTACGATTTCATATTTTTATTGTATAATTTCTGCATGCCATCTTACCAGATTTAAATTGATGATCTAGTATCCGGAAAAATTCCAAATACGGAATCGCCAAGTCCCGACCAGTCTGGATTTCGGACTTTGTACTGTATTTGATTTTTGAAAGGCTGTTAAATGTTTTCAAGCAGTTTTGTGTGTTAATATTGAAAATATATCAAATGTCATGCATACTTCTGCAAGAGTTTGCTGTATATATGTACACATATACAAGGGGTCCAAAAATGTACCTCAGTATTTATAATTAAATAATTTCTAAACAAAAAGACGTATATTCACTAATCTAATGTATAGTGTAGTGTAAGGTATTAAATAAGTCAGAGTAGGTGGAGCTTTCATTTTATGCCATACGTGCGTGGAGGTGGTTGGTGGTAGAACAAGCCAGTTATATTAGCCAGTGCAGCAGAAGCTGTTGAGGAGCAGCAATGGTTGAGGTTAGTTCATTTGTTGTTTGTTGAACACAAGGCTGTACTGAATTGGTACTGGAAGTACAAGAACATTCACGAGATACACTGTGGAAATAGAAAAACGGCACAGTTCGATATCTCCCGTTCTACTTGGTCGATTGTCAAAATTCAACTTGCGTTTTGTATGTCTCGAAAGTGCGACTTAGGATATGTATTAAATTTATATATAGTGTTGTTCTAATATAGGTATTTTGACACAATATTGGATGTTTTCTGAAATCATATGCCATTTTTGTTTTCATTTTTAGATTCTATGACTCAAATTATGCCAAAATACCAAGTTTTGTAAAAATCATATGATTAGTTTTTTTAAAAAATTAGCTCTCAAAATTGTAGCTCATCAGTGTTAATTGAATTTGGTATATACAGTCAAAAGTCGTTAATTTGGACACCCGTAATCCAGACCTCAAAGCTACAAACTTTCTGCGCATGCGTTTCATTGACGCATGCGCGTAAGACCTTTATTGCTGCGAATATGCATGTGCGCATGCGCAAAGTATGTTTATGAATGCGCGTTTAATGTATAACAGCCGGTATAAGCTAAGCTAAAATTATCTAATTCAGTTAATGTTGCAGATTGCGTCGTTCCTTAATCTTCGAATTGAATCCGGCTTATTTTTTGCAGACTGTTAGAGCAATTTTATAAAAGTAAGCTTGAACTTTCGATTATGTCAAATAGAATTTCTGATATATATTTACTAATATGTAAGGGATCTATCTACAAAGCAAAAGTATGTTTTGAAGTCCATTAAACAAAAAGTGAAATTGCTGCAAAAAATGGATAAAGGATAATGGATTTGTTTATCTAACCATTCTGAAATCTGTTTATCAATTTCATGCTGCTCTGCGTGTGGGGGGGGGGACATCGTGGCGCGCAATGAACTGAAAGTTGATCTGTCAGCACTATCCTTATCTTCAGGGCAGATGTTTTTATTTTATTTGGCTTATAATTCCTTACTAAATGTAGTATTTCATCTCGATGTACTCCGTCTTTGATATGATTTAAATCAAATTCCTCGTCATTATAATTCGCTTCCGACAGTGATCTTCTTCGAAAACGAAAGAATTTCGATTGACAAATTAGTCGGTATTCTTGACACAGCAATTATAGGACTTGAACAGCGGAACTTTGTAACTGAACAATTATGTCTGTTTATAGAATTAAAGAGAAAGTATTACATTGAAAGAAATGTTTAATAAAGTAAACAAATAAATAATAAGCTTTTTTTTTTTTTTTTTTTTTTTTTTTTTTTTTTTTTTTTTGTAAATTTTGATACTCTTTAGATCATAATTGTTCTTTATTTCATAAATTACGGTTTCATATTTTTAATTTTATAATTTCTGCATGCCATCTTACCAGATTTAAACTGATGATCTATAATCCGGAATCACCGAAGTCCCGACGAGTCCGGTTAACGACTTTTGACTGTATTTATTAATATCTCATTTTTTATGGTATATATTTATTAATATCTCATTTTTTATTAACGTTATTTGATTGTTCCTTTCACATTTTGAAATTTAGGTTCATTCCAAATAAAATTCACCCATTTTTTATGACTTATTTTTAAAATTCCTATTTTTAAATTATTTTTATAAATATTTTGACAAAAAAATTGAATTATAACCTATAAAATTTTTACCACCATCTTAAATTAGATGTATTCTAAGCATACCTACAAAAAGTTATTTTTTTATTTAAACGCTGCTGGTATGCGGAGAGTGAGTTGATAATCAGTCAGTGAGTGGCTGGTCGAGTCAGCTAAGAATCAGGAGTGAGTGTTGTGTAGTCTAGTGCCGAGTTGGCCGTCGAGTGCATCGAGAGAGTATCACGAGTTAGTGCATCATCAATTTTTATATTAGAGTGTGTTGAGCTCCGAGAACGACCGAACTGAGTGAAGAGCTGTACTATAGCGCATCGTCCAGTGCATGTAGCGTGGAGAGTTTCGAGAGTACGCTGAGTTCCGAGAATGACCAAACCGAATT